AAGTCCGCCATTACAGCCGTGGATTCCTCCTCGGAGCTGCTCGGCGGTACCCATACTCTCAACAGCCAGCGTACACGACGTACCCGTACCAAAGGCAACCATGCAAGCAAGCAGCAGCATGATCTGCAGGATCAGGAAACAACTGGAGCGCACATGGCGGCCGTATCCCTTAGCGGCACTTTCGAAAAAGTGATCGAGGACAGTGGCCCTCAGGCACGGAGTGCTCGGACGCAGATGACTTTCCGCAGCATAAAGGACGTCGATCTGGACACATGCCAGGCAAGCCCAACGCAACCCCTGCATTGGACTTGGAGGCCATCCAGGATGATTCTTGGCAGTTGGTGGCTCAAGAGCCTCACCGCAAGAATCGAGTAGTTGTCTTTATTGGCAATCTTAGTGCCCAGTGCAATGACCAACGGCTAAGCGAGTTCATCACAACACGCTCCACCGCAGTACACCAGTCAGTTGACGTTCATGATTGCAATGTCCGTGAAAACAAGTAGGGAATGATGACAGGAAGAGTAACCATTGATGCTGATGCCCTCCCCACAGTCACCTCTGTAAACATTTGGCCTAGACCACTGTTTGCGAGGGAGTGGACATTTCATGAAAAAACGTCATGGGCCAGTGCCAGGAAAGGGAAATGGACAGTCTGGGCTGTTGAAGAAGTCAGGCAAGGACTCAGCCACTCACAGCTCCGACCTGACACCATTGCCTCCCGACCGCAAGCGGCGGCATGGGGATTCATCTGACTCCGGCAGCCCACTGCTCAAGAAACAGGCCAAAAACCACCAGCAGCAAGAGTCTGCCGAGCAACAACAACTGAATGCAGACAGCCAACAATCATGAAGCTCCTCCTGACCAATGCAGGCGGGCTGCTGTCCAAGTTCGGAGAGTTTCAGCATACCCTGTTGCTCTCAGGTGCGGATGTTGCCATAGTGACTGAGACGAAACTAACAGTGGATAAAATGCAGTGCATCTATGATCCCGGGATACTGTGGCCCGATTCGCCGAGACCGAACAGAACACGGAGGTGGCGTTGGAGTCTGGATCAAAGCCGGCATCGCGTACCAGCATCTGGATCAGTACCAGTCTGCTGAATTCGAAACAGCGTGGCTCACCGTTGGCCAGTGCAACAGCAAAACTGTCATAGGTGCAGCCTATCGCCCTGGTTCCTGCGCTGACAATGATCTGGCTCTACTCGAGCACTTAGACCAAAACATAGATACCATGCGGCAGCGTGGTAAGCACATGATTCTGGCTGGAGATTTTAATGTTCACAGCACGCCCTGGCTTGGCAGCTCTCGAACGACAATCGCAGGGGAGTTCTTGGAAGAAATCAGTGCAACACACTGTCTTGTCCAGCACGTGACCCAGCCAACCCGTGGGCCAAACACATTGGATCTCGTCTTGTCCGACTTTCCTGGCACTGTCCACACAGCAGTATCATCTCCCATCGGTTGTTCTGACCACTGTGTAGTATTGTCTAACTTTCAGGAATTCACTCCTGTACTGGAGCGGCCAACAAGCAGGAAAGTATGGCGTTATGGCCAAGCAGACTGGGGCAGACTGAGGGAACATTTCCGCAGCTTTGACTGGGCTGCTGTCGTCTGCGATGACCCCGAGCTTGCATGTGAACAACTCACAACTGTAATTCTGGATGGAATGGACACGTTTATACCATCTAAGACCCTGACAGTACGAACGACGGACCCTTGTTGGTGGACACCTGAGTGCAGCACTGTAGTACTTGTACAAGCAAAGACTCGTGGATGGAAACGGTGGCGTCAGCACCCCGATGATGGAGATTTGCGAGCTTCATTCATCGACCTAGTGGCCCGAACAGCTGCTATTTTGCTGCGTGCCCAATCATCACATGATGCTCGTGTCAATGCTAAGCTCAGCTCAGGCTCACTTAACGACAAGCAATGGTGGTCCAACATGAAGAGAGCTGCTGGGATGGAACGTGCCTCTGAGATACCTCTTCTGAAAGACACCGACGGCACTGAGTATCCAACTCGCCAAAGCAAGGCCGATTGCCTCGCCAGGTACTACTCCCAGAAGTGTAACCTTGCAGATGCTGACATCTCTCCAGACGATCTGCCAGAAATGCAGCATTTGGACCGCCATGGTCTTGACCGCATCCATTTCCGGCTTGCTGATGTACGCCGCCGTCTAGCAAAGCTGAATACATCGAAGGCAATAGGACCTGACACTATTCCAGCAAGAGTCCTAGCTCAGTGTTCCAGTGAGCTTGCAGAACCAGTCACCGAACTGTTCTCACTCTGCTTTCGCCACGGTGTTCAGCCTGCCAAATGGAAGCTGGCACATGTGGTTCCAGTCTTCAAGAAGAACCCCCGCTCGGATCCCATGAACTCCCTGCTAGTCTCACTACTATCCATCCTGTCAAAAGTAATGGAGAGTATAATAAACAAGCAGCTCGTGAATTATCTGGAGCGTTTCAATATTCTGCTCAACAGTCAATATGGCTTTCGGCAAGGAAGAGGCACGTGCGACATCCTCACTGCTTTGCACACTGAGTGGGTCAAGACTGTCAGCGATGGAGGGTACGCTCACATGATGGCGGTGGTCATAGCAGGAGCAATTGATCGGGTATCACACTCTGGACTGATTTTCAAAGCCAAGAACGTTGGCATTGGCGGCTGCCTGCTGCACTGGCTGAAGGATTACCTCCTCAACCGCGAACTATCAGTCCTGGTCCACGGTGAATCAGCCTCCCCGGCGCCCATAACAGCAGGTGTGCCCCAAGGCAGTATCCTTGGCCCGACACTTTTCCTCTTGTATGTGTCTGACCTGGATCAGTGCCTCTCTCCCGAGACACGACTAAGTTCATTTGCAGACGACACAACTCTCTACAGCCTCATCCGCACGCAGGACAATATGAATGACATGACTGCCGACTTGCAATCCAGCCTCAAGCGTCTTGAAGAGTGGGGAGAACGCTGGCGCATCAGATTCGAGCCCTCTAAATCGCAACAGCTGCTGATGACTACGAAAGTCACACACCCTGCTGTCCCTGACAACAAGTTTGGAGGTATCGCGGTTCCGGAAGCCAACACCATCAAACTTCTTGGAGTGACATTTGACGCCAAGCTGTCATTCCGGGATCACTTGCACTCAATTGCGACACGTGGCTGCCAGAGACTGTGTGTTCTCCGTCGGGCTTGCCGGGTGTTAGATTACCATGGCCGGCTTTGTGCGTACAAGGGATTTGTGCGACCCATCTTTGAGTATGCTCTTGTGGATGGGAGATGCATCCAGCCACCTCGCCTGACTCGACCGCGTGCAGAAACGTGCAATGGCCATTATTGGCCCTTGTGCCCTTCTCCAAAGCCTGTGCCACCGCCGGATTGTCTCTGGGCTGGTATACCTGTACAAGCTCCAGTTCATCCCAGGACCACCCCAGCTCACCGCCATGACCCCCCCCCTCCAGTCAACCATGTAGAAGCTCGGCGCACCCGGAGTCAACCCCCTCCTGGCCAGCAGCACCATGTGCAGCTGCAGCAAGTCCTGGACAGGAGAGCACCTGCCTATGCTTCTCGCTCCTTCCCGTTTTCTGTAATCTCAGTATGGAACAGCTTGCCAAGCGAAATTGTAAGGGCTCCACTCAGCTTGAAGCGGCTCCACACGTTCAAAGAAGATGTTCATAAGTGCCTCACACACCAACACTGGCTGATGGCTACCGACTTCTACGGATGAACTCTTGATTGTGGCACCGGTCATGTTCCTTGGCTCGGCTATGCTAATAATATTGGGCTTCATTTACCTGTTATTATTAGTTTGTTTTGTTTGTTCTGATTTCTTGATTTTCCACCCGGTTTAGTTTTATTTGAATTATTTTCTGGTGCAGCTTTAGCGCTATGTGGTTTATGATTTCCCTTTTTCTTAATTTCGTATTAGCGCTTTTGGGCGTCATTATTTTCTTCTCATTATTTCGCACCAAATTAGTATTTCTGTCGCACCGGGTATTCTCTAGCTTCTATTTGTGTTGCAGTTGTTCTTGTGCCACCCCCCCCCCCCACCCATTTTTCGATGCCTAGTTGCAACGCTGTCGCCGAGACCTTAGGTCGGTTGAGTTGCTCCCAGCACATCAGCACGTCGTCCCTACATCCCCTATGTTTTGTCCTTTTCCTCGTTTCTTTTTGTTCTCCACCTGTTTTCCAGGAGGGCTGTGTCAATAGTAAAATATAAATGAAATAAAAAATAAAAATGCCGTAGCAACAGAATTACATATACGCGTGTAGAATATCACCTACATCCAGCCTGCGCACTAATCACTAACCCATAATCCCTTCCTTGCATTGTTGGTGTGTGTATGTGTGTGGTTGTCTGTGTGTGTGTCTGTGTTTGTAGCGGTGTGTATGTGTTTGTGTGTGGGTGTGTGTGTGTGTGCATTAGGTACTAAGATTTGTCGGCTAAGAGCCCTCTGAGGAGTAGAAGAGGAGGAGAGATTGTTGATATGCTGTATAAACTATTAATGGACATCGTTGTGCTTTGTCACATTATCACCATGTACAGATTTAAAAAGTAAAGTTTGTTTCTTTCTCTCTTTTATTTGAATTCGTTTACTTGAGTACTAGTACGAAAGGCCTCATCAGAGGCGACTGGCTTCGTCTCTTCGTGTGCCAATATATCCTTATTGTTAAAGTACTACTTGTATAACCTTAACGCTATTGGCCTAACCTGAAATGACCGCAAGCCGAAATTTCCTGCATTTTGTGTGTGCATCGTTCGATTTTTCATCGCAGCATTGAATCAACGTGACCAGTTGTGACTTTACTCTGCTTTTTCTTTGGCTCATTCTTTGGTAAACGTTCGCTCCAATTCCGGAACGTCTTGGAGTGCATGAATGGGCTTTCGACTGCAGCCCACAGTGGTGGTCAAATGTTTAACATGACTGATTGTTTAGTTGTCATTGCCCACATCACACTAGTTATTGGCTCAAAACAAGTAGTCCCTGAACAAGTAACGTTACCAACCTTGAACAGTGACAGAGACAGTGGTAGATATTGCCTGGGCGGCATTCGCACATCTGTCAATGACACTTTGTGGCCGTGATGGAGTTGATCCCATTCCAGTACAATCAAAGTTTGTAGTGTACGATGTTGTACAGATGACATTGAAGGTAAGACCTGATGTATCACTTTCTGTAAACACAATCTGGGAATCATTTCCCCGGAAGCTGAACATAGAATCCACCATATTCGTATGTGTCACCGTCTGTATCTTCTTTGAGTCCAGAGATAATGTTGAGCTCCAAGACACGTTGAGAGGAAAGTTTCCACTTGACCTGCATGGAATGGTGTACGAAACACCAGAGTAGGGCAATGTCAGTGATGTAGGTGATATTCCAGACCGAACTTGTTGAGCTGTACGAGAAGGACACAAGGGTACAATATTGAAATGTATGATGAGACTGATCAGGCGAGAACTGTCTTCAGGCCACCTTAAAAGACCAACGCAGAGCTGGGCGTGCTTTAACAGCAAAGCTATTCTTGTAGCGTGAAGAAATAATTGCAGAAATAGTTACAGCCAATGGCGTGTACAAATGATGGTGCGAGTTCGAGACCAAGCCCTTGGCGACTAGAAAACGACCCTCTGAGAGAAAGTACTTTGGAAGGCGGATACCTGGATCAGTGAATAGTCCACGAAGTAATTACAAGTAACGTCGAGCACATTTCTTTTCCATCTCACAGGTTCACGCTTGCGTGGTGATCAGGAAATATTCTGGTATGAATAATGCACAGGAAAGTACATGTAAGTGACGAATCTTTGCGCGAGGAAGACAGTGCAAACCGCGCATATACATGGTCTCACACCTGCTACCACTCTCACACAGTGTGTGACACACACGCACATACACATACACACATGCACCCGCGCATGCCATAACAACAACAAACAAACATATACTCACACTCTTTCCAACGCACTACCGCACGCCCACACTCAGGCACACATGTGCACACTCCCACGCACATACGCAAACACTCCGCCTCACACACACACACACACACACACGCGCGCGTGCGCGTCCGCGTACGCACACACACACACACATACAAGTACACAAACTCACACCTACAAAGGTCAAAAAGAATGGTTCCACCAATTATGTATACATACGTTGCTACGCTGCGTTTCATGCACGTAGCTAAATGCTAAGGCAATCATCAGACAACCAATACTTTTGTCGCGGGATAGCTTGTTCTTATTGTGGGGGATACGCATGGACATGTAGAGTAGGTGTGGGTTATCAATGCAGGGCATGCATGGGAAGAGCGAGTGATAAGAATTACATCACTGGATGGGCATGCGCAGTAGGCGCGAACTATGTATGGAGCGTGCAGAGGCGGAGAAACCACCAGGCAGGATAAGGGTAAGCCATTGGGGCACTGGGCAGGGGGTGTGATGTGTGGCGGTGGAAGCACGCTGTGGTGTCCACATTCAACAGCCGCGGGTATTCAAACTCACACCTATGTTAAACACCTTCAAGCTGCCCACTGGGAAACTTAAACACAATACATCCACACTTATCCATACATACATTTGATATCTGCTATATTCATCATGTACATGATTGTATGGATCAGTGTCACTGCGAATGTATGGTGTCTGAGTCACCCATTGGGCAGCGTGAAGGTGTTAAGCGGGGTGTGAGTTTGGCTTTTGTGTGTGGCGGTGGGGTGGGGAGGAGATGGGTAGGTGAGGATGAGTGTGTGCGTCTGTATATGTGTGCGGGGGGGGGGGGGGGGAGCGCGTACGTATCCGTGCGTGACTGTGGAGGTGTGCGTGTTGTTGAATGGTGTATTCCCAGCACAAGTTAGTTGCTATGTCTAACATTGCTGTTCGCTATCATCGCTTCCGCGATGGGCAGGTCTGAGGTGAGGTGGGTGTTGGAGTGAGTGTTAGTATGTGTTTGTGTATGTGCGTGTGTGAGAGTAGGTGCAGGTGTGAGTGCACATATATGAAAGGTTCCCACTGTATTCCAAACGCAATGATTCTTCAGTTACTTTCCTGTGCATATACATTTGTAACAAGACATTATTCCTCGTTTCAGACCAGAATAAGTATAGCCAGATGATCTTGAAAGTGTGAAACTCTGAGTTGCAATAAAGTTACCATCATACTTGTAAGGAAGCTGTGCCCTTCCGTTTACTTTGTGCGTAGAGGGGAATTATCCTGTTTTGTAGAATATTATTATGTCGGTGTGTTACTTACAAGAATGTGTTGTTCTCTAACCAGGCTCTAGTTCTAACTGTTGTCTGTTGTTGTCTAGGGTCTAGTCTAAAGTAACGGTAGCCGTCACTAGCCGTCATTGCAATGAGGGTCTCTTTCGAATTGCATTTTTTGCATTTTTGTGTCTATGAAAAAGTCACGTCTTGAGCATATTCATTATATTCATTAAACAAGATCTCCCGTGGCTCACATATTCAGCACATCATTCCTATGGTTTGTATCTGGACACGCCACTGTGTCTGTCGCTGAACTGCCTATGTACTCGAACAAGGAACACGATTGCTATTACCGTAAAGTACCGCCAGAGCGCCCCACCATCTCGTCCTTTCGTGGCCGCCTTGTGGAGGTGGATTTCTGTCTGTAGGTCATACGACACGGACCTTGTACAAACATTGCACATTGTGCAGTCAATCCGTACCCAGTTGACCTTCGAGCGCCACATAAAAGCATACCAAGTGTGACCTTAGTACACGAAGGTTCTCACATCGTACAAACTTAGTAGCATTCTGCCATACCATTTTCTTCCCTTGGTTGTAAAATCAAGGTGGGGCGCTCTCGCGAGACGGGGCGCTCTGGCGGTACTTTACGGTACATGTCAATGACTCTACAGACATCAACAAAATAGGACTTTCGGAAACGGTGCCAGTCATTTGTAGTATGTGGCTCGCATTATCCGCACGTGGTTTTATATCAGCAATTGGGAGATCACGCTGTTCATGCGAACTTGAATCACTACTTGACAGACGACATCCAGCTTACACAAGAATTCTATCGAACCTTCCACTCACCACACCTGCACGAAAAGTACCACTCCTACTGAACACGCAGTGTTTCGGGGAACTACCCCTCATCAGCTGAGTTTTAGTACGCTAATGGGATGTGTCCTCCGACAGCACAGCAATATCATGACAGTAATGCTTAACGAGCCTAAACATCTTAGGAGGATTTGTTGAGAGTTTGGTGTGTTGTTATTCTATGAATTTACAGCACATGTACTGCTTGTTTTGAATGTATGTTGTCGAGTTGGAACATATTTGATTTCCTATTCTTACCGCTGCCAGTTGCTATCATCTGCATTGTTTCTGACTATCTGGCTCTCTCTTCCTTTGATTATTGTTGCTAGTTGCTCGTTTGACATGTTCTCTCTAATCCTTGGTGGGTACGTCGATTGTTCGATCATTCTTTTACTTGTTTTTTAACGAGTTTGCGGTTCACTTTTTTTCAATTTCGAACGTGAGACCTCAAGGTCAAATTGGAGCATCTCACGTTGCAACGTCAGATTTCAACGCGACAGAGGGCCAACTCATGGTGAAAAATGCGATTCAACACAGGTTTTTCTCATGTTCGAAATTGAACCACGTGAAGCATAAACGTTCTAATGTCGATCTCTTCGCCGAACTACTTTGCGCTCTGCGCCTGTTGTTAGTTTTTAGAATAATCGGATATTTCGAACAATCCTTGCAAACCATGCGATATATGTTGAAAATGGCAATTGAAAAAAATGATCTCAGGAAAGGGAAATCAGTTCTAAAACTTATACAAAAGAGAAAGACCAAGGAACTTCAAGTTACGCTGTACTGCAGTTCCTTGGTCAAGCCGTTTGGAAAGCTGTGCGAGGTCAGGAGGCCGGAGTACTGTTGTACGGTGAAAGGCTCGAGAATATTCTTCATGCTTTGTTTCTTCGTGATCGTACAGTGCTAAAACTAGTCATTGTTGTCTTCAGCATGGAGAATTGTAATTTAACGGCATGCTCATGACTCCAGCCAAGAAATACAATGTCATGTAATCGTAGGGGTGGGGGGGGGGGGGAGGGCAGAGGAAACATACATTTCACCCCTTTTTCCATGTTCCACTATTTCCTTGTCACACAAAATGCAACTTGCAAGTGCGCAGAGCATCCGAAACAACCGATCTGTGGCAGCACTTTCGAGGTTTGTACTAAAAACTCGAAAAATGACTAGGGATGTGCCCCCTTACTCTTCTCTGGCTAGAACCTTGAAGTTTTAATATACTCCGGGCGCCCTAGAGCAACCAAGACAAGAGTGCGCCAACTCGCCTGTTACATTGCTTGCGTCCTACGCGACGTCATGCACCTGGAGGAGGTTCTCCTTTCCTCGGGCATCTCCTAGTAAACCACTGCTCTATTTCTCTTCACCTTGCATGCATCAGTAGCCATACTGTAGGGTATAGAGTCAAAGCTGGACATTATTCCACACGATGAAGAAGTCGGTTTGTGCTTACCTACAATGTTGAGTTGATATGTCTGTGTAGAGTTGTGATCCACTGTTCTGCAATGGTACAGTCCAGTGTATGAAGTGTCCAGTATAGGATGTGCTGTGGCGTTCACTGGTACACCAGCAAATCCTGAGAAAGTACCTGTCTCACCCAAGACTAGACTACCATCAGTCTTCTCTAGTCGAATGAATGATCCTGATCCACTGGTCACAATACATACAGGTAAGTAACTGGTAACATCGGCTGTAGGTTGTCCATCACCAAATGTCACTGTGAATGCTGCTGTTGATTGTCCTGTACCACCAGCAGTGAGAATGACAACTTGACCTGCATGAGCACACACAACAGTACAGTGTCACAATACTAGCTCAATACATCACTAACACTGGGACTAGGTACAATCTACTGGGAAAACAATACTTCATGTACCGCTTTACAATCACTGGGGAAGGAAATGAAAGATACTGTATACAAAACAAAAGCAGAAAACTGGTGCTTAAACCATACCTGACTGCCAAAACGGCGTTATATATACACCCTCCCAAAAAAAAACACTTTCTGAGCGTGAAAATTCAGAAAAAGCTTCTTTATTCACCATGTTTCTGTTTGCTCGTGGCGAATAGTCGATGCAGGGAAGGCCATACCCAAATGTTTAGTTAGTACGTAGGTTTGTGCCTTGCACATAGGACCAGCGACTGTTCTCACCATAGTTTCTCCATTGTAAGTGATGCTGGGCTGGGCTTTTCACATCATCAACACACAGAAACATAGTTCGCAGATGCGATACTCTTCAAATACTGGGATCAAGGAATTCAAACGCTGAGAGCCAGTTACTATTCACAACGATGTCACCTCCAACAACTAGTCACTCGCCCGTCTGAGCGACAACTATGCGAACTTAGAAGTTGGCACCTCGGCGGTTATAGTGATGAATTTGGTCGCTCCAACGAGGAACATGCTTACTGTCGAATTTGACACTTGGCTGACCCATGACTGCCATCCGGGGGACACGTGAAGCATGTCGCACTTTCCACTCGGATAACCTGAAAGCGCTACTCCCTGCTCAATACACAGTGTTTCGGGGAATTCGTCCCTTATTAGTTGAATGGAATGAGCGATCTTCTAAAAGTTGAGGACCCTACTCCTTATTTAAAAGAGTCAATGTCTGTAACGAGCAAATGTCAATTATTCCTTGAATGGATTTCATTATTCCTTGGATGGATTTCATTCATCCTTGAATATTGTGCAAAATCAACACGTCGACTAAAATACGCACGGAGAGAAAGTATAAGAACAAGGGGCCAATGCTGCTCACAACAATTTTGCCCAGAAACACGAATGTTCACACAGCAATTCAAGTTACCTAGTAATGTTTAGCCATCTGACTTTTGACTGACAAGTAGATGAGTCCCTGGAGCGAATCGATCAATTCAGCCTGTCCAATAGCGAACCTTACGAATGCCATTTTTAAGGGTCTGTAGCAGCGACATTGCGTCCTAATATTTCGTGTAGACCACCACCGTGGTCTGCTACAACATATTCCCAAACACCAACAAGTTGTCGTGATGGTTATCCACTAAAATGTACGTGAGGAAATAATCAAATTTCCAACTCTCCAATGGCGATGCAGCAGCCGAATCCATTAGCGTGGTAGGAAAGCACACACGGATTGCCTCCATACGCCTTGTCGCTATGCTAGCAGCACTGGGACATCGTGGAAATAATCCCTACTCTCGTAGAATCTCTCTTTTAGCCGCGAAAAAGCTTCACCTTCTTAACAGCAACCTAACATGACAGAAGAAGAAGAAGGAAGAACTGGTCCACAACAAATCATCAAGGACTGCAACAGTAGCGAAAGTAGACCCTGAAATTTCTAGTGTACTGGCCAGCCATGGTGACATGTTGCCATGTTGTTGCATTGGCTGACTGAATGTGATCTTGTTACATTGGTGAACAATTGGGACGCCGCGGGTGCAGTTGCATGGATCACCTGGAAGAGACAAGGGCGTTTCGACTCCCTATGTTCGGTCAGCCAAATAGGTCTTAAACCAGGCGAGAACCTTGTCTCCAAAGCCATAATCAAATAGTTCAGAGCCTAGGAGTGTGTGATCCACACAGTTGAACACCTTACATAATTATGCTATCTGCAAAAGTCATGAGTTTCTTGTAGATATTGTGAGCTATTCTTCCACGGTACTGTGCGCTTAGTTTATCACCTATTTGAGGCTCTTAAAAGAACCGGAAGTGTGTGCTCCTTGTTGGTAATAAAATAGTCCTTTTGAAGCCTCTTGCACAACCAAGTGGATCAGTCAAAGCATTAAGGCAACACTTCCGTGCTATATTCTGTGATCCTGCTCTGGAGTCATCTAGACTCTTACGGACAGAGGAAGACCTTAAAACCCCTATAAAGCAGACAGAGGTACATTATATTATTAGAAGCTTCTCCGCGTTGGCATCAATGCAATGGAGATATACACAGCATGTATAGCTTTCGCATAAGCCGAAGCGACAACAGCCAAACAGGATATTGATGGCGATATAAAACATATGCGATATAAAACGCGTGACGAAAATAGAATACAATTAAAACAAGCAAATGAGCAGCTCAACCGAGTTGAATTTGAACTTGCTGATCATTATCAGGGTTCATCTGTGAGCAGCAACATATCTCTCCAGGATACGGCCGCTGAGGTAGGTCCACGCCCCGCGATTCTGGGCGATGCTCCTCAGCTCCTCAAGATCTGCCGAGGTCTTGAGGGTCCTCCCAACCAGCTCGAGATCGTGTCTGAGCACGACCGGCAGAGTTGTGCGCGGCCTGCCCCTCCAGGTAGGCTCAGTGGATGGCTTGAAGTAGGAGCACATTGACAGGTTCGCCGGTGCACTCTGATCCAGCCGCAGCACGTGCCCAAACAGATGCCAGCGGGCTCCCAGGATCGAGATACCAAGTGGTGTTGAGTTTGTCCTCTTGTACAGGGTGTTATTCTTGATCTTAGCTGGGTACCGTATGCCAATAACTTTCCGCAGTTGTTGTCTGTGGAACGCATCAACTCTATGCATAGTGGTGCCAGTGAGGCCCCAAGTCCCGTTGTTGTAGCACAGGACCGGTAAGACGAATGCCTTGTATAGCCGTACTCTCAGCGATTCGTTTACAATGGAACCTCGTATCCATAATACCCAGAGCCGGTGCAGGGCAGCTGTGGCGAGTTGCATTCTCCGCGCAGAATCCTCGTGGTCACCAATGAGGGAGCCCAGCTTCCTAGTGAGGCGCCATTCCTCGCACACTCTGTCGTTCAGCCGTGTGATGTTTGTGAGTTCTGTTTTAGATTCATTGATGTTGAGGTCCCAGGCTTTGAGGCACTTTGCAATGTCGGGCAGGAGCTCTTGAATACGTTTGCAGTCAGACGATAGGAAGTCGACATCGTCGGCGTACTCTGTATCAGTTGGCAAGCCGAGCCTGACATCTAGGTCGGGTCTTGCGCAGATAATCTGTCTCACCTCCCGAAGCGCTGCCTCCAGGTAGATAACGAATAGGGCAGGTGATAGTGAGTCACCCTGTGGTGTGCCTCGGGTGGTCTGGAACTGCTCGCTCTTCCCTCCAGGTAGCCGGACCTCAAGGGACGTGTTCCTGAGTAGGTAGGAGATAATGGTGACCTCATCGTTCTCAAGGAAGCTAGCTAATATAGTGAGCAAACGGTGCCTGGATATTGTGTCGAACGCTTTCGACATGTCTATGCCGAGCACGCCAAATGATTCCTTCACTCGCTGGCACCGTGCCGCGATCCATCTGTAGGACCAAACAACATCAGCCGTACTCCTACCACTGCGGAAGCCACTCTGGTTCGGAGACAGGAACGTGTTGACTGCATGCCTGATGCGATTTAGGGCAATGATGGACAGCACTTTCCGAAGTGCAGTGAGAAGCACAATGGGCCTCAGGTTAGATGGAGGACCTTTAGGCTTCCCAGGCTTCTGAAGTGGGACGAGAGTTCCATGGCCAACCGACAGCGGATCACCACAGTTGATGGCACGTGTGTATAGATCGGCAAGGTGACGGTGAAGTGGTGCTGGGCCATATTTTATAAGTTCAGCAGGTAGGTCGTCGGGTCCAATCGCTCTGCCGTTATTTAGGCGTCGTGCTGCTGACCTGACTTCTACCTCGCTTATCGGTATCCCAAGAGGTTTGTTCTCTTGGTGTAGAGGTGCGCAGGTGGAATCAGCGAAGGCTGCTGAGAAGTGATTTCTGATTATTGAAGCTGACTCCATCGGGCGAAGGACCAGTTTCCCGCTGGCATCATTCACCACTATCGGCGACTGCTTTTTGCGCTGCAGTAGATGCACAGCACGGAACATCTGGGCTCCGTCTTTTTGATTTTCAATTTCACGAGCTTTTTCATCTAGATGGCTGGCTGCATTTGCACAGGCGTGTTGTCGGATCATGTGGGAGAGTTTGTTGCGCTGTTGCTTTAGGATGCTAACTTCATCGGCATTCTTTTCATCACGGATCCGGTGTCTCAGTCGACGCTTCTCACAGGACATTTTTAGCGTGTCGGCGTCCATGATCCACTTTCCACCTCTCTTCCTGGGTGCAGCAACGCCCAGAGTGTTCCGCGCTGCTGTAATCACCGTTTGACGAATACCATTCCAGGTAGTTGATGGGCAATTAGTGTTGTCGAGCCGGTTGCCGGTGAGAGAGGATTCCAGCTCATCACAATACCTCCTTCGCATGGTTGGGTCCGAGAGGCCACCAACCAGTATTCTTTGGCTGGCACGCTGTTTCTTACCGTGCTCAACAGAGCTCCACACATGGCGTATGCGAGAGAGATCGAGTCTTGCAACCACTAGTCGGTGATCAGACTCCACCAGCGTACCAGAATATGACCGGCTGTCTACAAGTAGCTGTCGTTGTCGATGAAGACAGAATATATAATCTATTTGATTGTATATAGGGATAGACACACCATCTTGAGGTCCTTTTCTCCAGCCAGTCCATGTTGCTTGGTGCCGCGCTGGATGCTGAAACGCAGTGTTGCAAGCGAAGAGATGATGTGCGTCGCAGAAGTCGGCCAGGACAGCTCCGCTAAAATTCCGTCGCCCGCGTCCGTAGTGTCCTATGCACCGATACTGAGAACTCATTCCACCAAGCTTGGCGTTGAAGTCTCCCGAAATTAGAATAACTGAGGAGGAATGTACCTTACTGAGAGCCGTGCCAAGCGATGAGTAGAAGTCCTCCAAACAGCCATGGTCTTGTGCGACTTTCGCTGAGGTCGGAGCTTAAGTGTTGACGATGGAGATAAAGCACACACGAATCTGCAGAACTGCAAC